TTTCTTTCTTTCTTTCTTTCTTTCTTTCTTTCTTTCTTTCTTTCTTTTTTATTATGAAGGTATCTTCAGCCTGTGTTTTCTTGGGTATAGTTTTCTTGGGTGTAGAGTTTTCCTTCTTGTATCTTCTGTAGGGCTGGGTTGCTGTTTATATATTGTTTATATTTATTTATGTCATAGAATATTTTGTTTTCTCCAATTATGTTGATTGAACGTTTTGTTGGATATAGTAGTCTTTGTTGGCATCTATGGTCTCTTAGTGTCTGCATGCTATCTGCCCCAGCTCTTTCTGACTTATTTTGAGAAGTCTGGTGTAATTCTGATAGGTCTGCCCTTACATGTTACTTATATGTTACTTGACCTTTTTCCCTTGCCGTTTTTAATATTTTTTCTTTGTTCTGTAGATTTAATGTTTTGATTATTATGTGGCTGGAGGAGTTTATTTTCTGTTCTAGTCTATTTTGTTGTTCTGTAGGCCTCATGTATTGTAAGGGCATCTCCTTTGTAAGGTTAAGGAAAATTTCTTCTGTGATTTTCTTTAAAAATAATTTCTGGGCTTTGGAGCCCGGAGTCTTTTTTTTTTTTTCCATCTATTTCTTTTATTCTTAGGTTTTGTCTTTTTCATGGTGTCCTTGGTTTCTTGAATATTTTCAGTCAAGAACTTTTCCATTTTTATGTTTTCTATGAGAGATGTATCAATTTCTTTAATTGTATCTTCAGCTCCTGAGATTCTCTCCTCCATCTCTCGTGTTCTGTTGGTGATGCTTACCTTTGTGATTCCTGATCTCTTCTTTAAATTCTCTGTCTTCTATTGTGGCCATGTTTCTTTACATTTCCACCAATAAGGAAGGGTGTTCCCTTTTCTGCACAGTTTTTAGTAAATATAGAGTTTGGAAGTGTTTTCCCCCATTCTATCTGTGTCTTCCCACATTGTCTTTTCTGTGCTTGTTAGTTCGACATAGTCAAAGTATTATAAAAGTTAGGTTTTTGCTGCTGGGGAGATGATTCAGTGGTTAAGAGCACATGCTGCTCTCACAGAAAGCCTGAATTTGGTTCCCAGAAAACATGTCAGTAGTTCACAACTACCTGTAGCTCCATCTTACAATGGACCCAAAGTATCTGGCCTCCACTGAGCACCTGCACCCAAGTGAACATACCCCATACAGATAACACACATATTTAAATAAAACATTTTTAAATCCTAGTTTTCCATAGCACAGTAAGATGAGTTTTGTTTATAACAATATATTATCTCTTTCATTTTTTAAAGTCTGAGAGGAACATTAAAAGACTCATAACATAAAGAAGTAAATTATTCTGGAGGTGGAAAAGGCAAATTCTATGATTTAATCATTAGAATCTGTGTACATGTAACGGATTGTAACCTATAAATGTGTATAGCTGTCATACATCAGTTAATTTTTTTTATTTAAACTCTATTCATTTTCTGTTTTGTGTTTAACCACCATGAGAAAATTGTTAAGAAAGAAGAATAAAATAGCATTGGGGGAAAATAAAGACAAAGAGTCTCCCTTCAGAGGAGGTTATAATCCTCTAGACATAGGATATTGCACATCCAGGATCCTGCTGTGTGTGAATGAGTGAATTCTTTATGAAGAAAACAGTGGAAACAATGTCTTCACCAGATAATATTAACCCAGTCAAAATATAATTATGTGGTTCTATTATTTTGTCATTTTTTGTGACTCTATCATTTTGTGATTTTTTTTTTCATGGTATACGTAAGAATTCAACAAATGTTAGTTGTCAATATTGCCAGTAATTTATTAAAATAAAGAGCATGTACTAAACACTAAAAAAAAAAAAAAAAAAATTCTCTAACTCCAGGGTTTTCTCTGTTTCTGTGTGCTTTTTTGTAATTGATTCTAATTCCATTTTCATGGCTTGAACCATTTCCTTCACCTGTTAGAATGTGGAATCCGTCAGTCCATTATGACTCCTATTTTTTTTCATTTCCTCTTTATGTGCCTCGATTAACAGCATTTTCCTGTGTTTCAGCTGCATTAGAATACCCATTGATTTTTGGATATTCTGGTAAACATATGATTTCCTGTCAAAGTTCTGTTGGAGAAATGTTGTTTATTGTTTTCTTTTTTTTTAAGAACTGAAGATATTAATCTGTTTTTTTATATTAATTTTTATATTAATTACATTTTATTCACTTTGTATCCCCGTTGCAGCCCCCTCCCTCCCAATCCTACCCTCCAGCCTTCATCTCCTCCCATGACCCTCTCTAAGTCCACTGATAGGGGAGGTTCTCCTCCTCTTCCATCTGATCCTAGCCTATCAGGTCTCATCAGGAATGGCTGCATTGTCTTCCTCTGTGGCCTGGTAAGGCTGCTCCCCCCTCAGGGGAGGTGATCAAAGAGCCAGCCACTGAGTTCATGTCAGAAACAGGCCCTGTTCTCCTTACTAGGGCACCCACTTGGAGACTGAGCTGCCATGGGCTACATCTGTGCAGGGGTTCTAGGTTACCTCCACACATGGTCCTTGCTTGGAGTTTCAGTCTCTGAAAAGACCCCTGGGCCCAGATTTTTTGGCTTTGTTGTTCTCTTGTAGAGCTCCTGACCCCTCCAGGTCTTTCATCTCACCCTTCTTTCATAAGATTCCCTGCACTCTGCCCAAAGTTTAGCTACATGTCTCAGCATCTGCTTTGATACCGTGCAGGATAGAGTCTTTCAGAGGCCTCTGTGGTAGGCTCCTGTCCTGTTCCCTGTTTTCTCCCTCTTCTGATGTCCATCCCATTTGCCTTTCTGAATGAAGATTGTGCATCTTACCCAGAGTCCTCCTTCTTGTTTAGCTTCTTTAAGTGTACAGATTTTAGTATGTCTATCCTATATTATATCCAATATCCACTTATAAGTGAGTATACCGTGTGTGACTTTCTGCTTCTGGGATATCTCACTCAAGGTGATCTTTTCTAGATCTCACCATTTGCTTGCAAACTTCATGATTTCTTTGCTTTTAATTGTTCAGTAGTATTCCATTGTGTAAATGTTCCACATTGTTTGTATCTATTCCTCCCTTGAAGGACATTTAGATTGTTTCCAACTTCTGGCTATTATGTATAGAGCTGCTACAAACGTGGTTGAGCAAATGTCCTTGTATGCTTGAGCATATTTTAGATGTATACCTAGGAGTGGTATAGCTGGATCTTGAGGAAGTGCTATTCCTAATTGTCTGAGAAAGTACCACATTGATTTCCAAAGTGGTTGTACAAGTTTACATTCCCACCAGCAATGGAGAAGGGTTCCCCCTTTTTCCACATCCTCTCCAGCATGTATTGTCACTTGAGTTTTTGATCTTAGCTATTCTCATGGGTTTAAGGTGAAATCTCAGGGTCATTTTGTTTTGCATTTAACAAAAATAAAAAAAGCATACAAACAATTGTGGTTTTTAAAAGGTAAGAATGGATAAAGAAAAAGTATCAAAGCATGAATGACAGGGAAAGTGTATTAATTAATTAATTTTAGGTATAACATAACAAGAAAATATTAGAAGACTGGTACAGAAAGAAAGGTAATCATAAAAATCTGTCAGTCAAGACAGAAACTAAAACAAAAGCCAAAAAAACCCCGCACTTGAAACAGGTGAAGAGGGAGCTGCTATTTTTAGTAATTCAAACAAGTTAGACCAGTATGTTCTCTCTGCTGGGAGTTTATATGTCAAATAGTTTTCCGTATGTGTTTCCTGGTTTGAGACACGTTCATCTGCCAGCCACAGCCTTCTTTCTGGTGTGCTGATGACCAAACGTTCCAATCTTGGCTTTCAGTTTATGAGGATCTTAGTGGGTATATGGAAGGCTGTCACTCATGCTTCTGCATACATTTCTTGTTAGGTGTTCTCATCCTACCTAGATCTTGGCTGCTTTTATGCCAATGTTCTATATTTCCAGCCTTAAAATAATTGCTTTGGCCTGCTTTGGACATGCTCCATATTTCATTCACTTAGGCGCTGGCAGGGATACATTCCTCCCTATATTCTTAATTAGTCACTCTAAGAAAATCATGGCGAGTCTTGGCATTGGGGTCCTGATTTTGTCCTGTCACTTCTACTACAGCCACTGCACTGTTCCAGCCATCTAGCTATCTTTTTTCACACATATTGGTCCCAGCTCCTGGTCATATCTCTGTATCCCAATCGGTCTTTTTCTCATTCTCTCATTGTTATTATTATTATTATCCAGTATGCAGAATGCACCCAGTTAACATTTATTCCAACAAATGAACATTTATTTAAAAGAATTTATGAAATCATATCATAATACCTTTACTTTCAAAAAGGAGAGGAATCTTTAATATTTTGAACACATATCATGGTAACACAAAACAAAAAGTTAAAGAAAAATAGGGTAAATATCTCCCTTTTCTCCCCAGCCAGGTATAGAGACCTAGAATTAAGTCTTTTTGATAAGTCAGCCCTGGTTTCTTTCCATAGGTCTGAGAATAACATGACCAGGAGTCTTAGCTTTGATAAAGAAGTGAGTTGTGTGGCTTGAAGGGCTTAGTGACTTTTCTTTGGGAGAACCCACATAAAAAGAGTGACCAATAAGTGTCCTTAACTGAGGCTATCTTACAGAAGACAGACTCAAAAGAAGGAGAGAATAAAAAAAAAAGTAAAGTCCTATTCACATGTATAAAATGATTGGCATTCATATAACACTACATCAACTTCTATCCTCACAATGATAGACCATTGAGCATGTATTAGAGTAACATAATTGTTTTTGAACAATATCCAAACGTAAAGTCAGCTTAGGGCTCCTCAGCACAATGCAATACCTATACCATAGCAATAAAACTAGTATTTGAAGCTGTGAAGTAGGTGAGACTTGTAACAGGGGCTGGCTCTCTAATTTCACTGTGGGGAATATCTATGGTTTTCAAAGATTAGAAGTATGGGGAAAGACCTTGGGAATCTCAAGATGCCCAACCTGGTATGTTAGAACTTGAGTATAACTGGAAGACTTGGATGGAACTATAAAATAACACCAGGACCTCACAAGTTAATATAAGAAGGAACATTTGTCTAAGTTACCCCTAGGCTTTAATGAGGACCTGAATATTGTAGAGATATATGCACTCAGCTCGTTGGGAATTTCAGCAAAAATAAAGTGGTTGTCCTTCAGAACCTGAGGCAAAAAAGGAAGGAAGGAAATCTTTGAGGCCTTTTCCTAAAGCAAGATACAGATCTTCTCCAGACCTTACACCCTAGAGCTCATTAGGCACCAGTCCTCAGGAACAAAACAACTAGGGCCTTTTACCTGTTGCTCAGTTGCAAACTAGGGCAGTAGTTGAAATGTGAGTGGGAGAAGAGGGAGGGTTCATGAGACCCAGTCATTAGCACCCAAACCACAGCTGTTCTTAAACCAGAAATTCCAAGAGCAGAAAGAAATAAGGGCATAGAGAGAATGGTTATTCTTCCAACAAATTAAATAAAAGACTCAGTAGGGTAAGGAAGGGATATTAAAAAGAATCAGGACATCTATCACTGTGGCCAAGGGGAGGGTTTACGATCAAGGTCCCTTCACCCTCTCTTCATTCATCTTGCTTCCGTTTTGGCTTTTTGGGGTTCCGTGACCGACTCTTGGCTTTGCAAAGAGGACATATAGGTGCATTTCGATGAATCTGTTGATGACATGACAAACAGGCCTGGAGGGAGTAGACAGGATAAATAGTCAGTCTCCTAATAATGGTTCATATGGCTGATATTGAAGGGCCCAGAAAGCAATTATAATTTTCCATTGGTATGGAACAATTACCGGTAAGATTCAAGTAGAAATCTGTGTTCTCAGACATCATAGAACTTGGGAGTGGAATATATAACACATACAGTATAGAAAAATGTATGTAAAAGTTAGAAATAAAATAAGAACTACATATCAATGTAGCATTATATAAGGACATTATAACAGGCCTACTCATGTACTATTGATTTTTCTTCGACAGGATGAATCAGCAAGCATTTTCTATAATCAAGACAGTGAATATTTAGACTTCAAAATCTTTTTAATTGATAATTTGTGTGTGTATCTGTGTGTGTGCATGCGTATGTGCATGATATGTGTGTACATGCCAAAGTACCGGTATGGATATCTGACGAATCTGACAACAACTTTTCTGTTCTCTTCTAGAACAACTTTGGGGAGTTTGTTCTTTTTTTTTTTTTTTTTTTACTGTGGGATTTAGCGATCAAAATCAGACCATCAGCTTTATAAGGTAAATGCCTTTACATCCTGAGCCACGGGTTGCTTCATAAATATATGAGAATTTTTTATATTAAGTAGTATGTTGCAGTTATTCAACTATATTTTATGTTAAGATATATCACTCAAGTCAACTGGCATGTATGTATGCCAGTAAATCTTCAATGAAAACATTCAGCAAGCCAGATTCTACCTGTAGGTTATGGTCTACTGGGCATTCCACTCAAGTAGAATGCCTATTTGACTATCTACTATTGGCCTGATTCTGTGATATTGCATTGATAACTTACAAACAGTTTTAGCATAGAAAAATGCAAATTAATTCTATTGGGAAGAAAACGTAATCATAAAAGTCATACATTTATGTCTCTATAAGACATAAATAATTTCTGTATAAAAATTTCCAAAGTTATTTCAGAATTTGTTTCCAACCATGTAAACATCTGTTCATCTGTTCATCAAATATACATAGAACCTGCCTTGTGACTCTGCTGAATCCCTCACTAATGAAATATGTTCCCTATATATTTGTATAAAGATTATCTTTCTAACCTCCAGAAAATTGTATGTTAGTGGAGCTTGCAAAGCTTCCTGTATTCTAATCTCTCTGGGAATGTAAAACAAACAAACAAACAAACAAACAAAGGCGACATGGAATCAACAGAGCCCCCCCCCCATCCTCTGTGTGCCAAACATTGCTTAAGTAAAATCTAAAATAAATAAGACCAAAACTTCAAACAGCATATCATCAGCCTCCTATTGGAGGTCCAGTCTAGTTTACTCACCTTCATAGGTGGAGGTTGCTGTCTGAAGGTGGCTGCCTGCCGTGTGTCCTGCTTCCTGGCCACTTGGAGTTGTTGGGCGGCGGCAGCTGCAGCAGCAAGGGATTCAGGTATGGGGGGTTCTTGAGGTTCTGTCTGCCATTCTGCTTTCTGCTTCTCAAAGTAACTTTGGGAATGAAACACATTGGCTGGATCATTCTAAAAGCAAGAAGAGCCTTGCCTATCTTAAAGTCTTTATGCTAAGGGGCCAAAAATGATATGTGGACCCCTCTTAGGAGGGAGTACCTTCCCCATAACATACGGTTCTTTCCCCTTAATATGAGACACATTATCAGTAGAAATGGTAGACATTTTGCTTCTTAACTCTGATAGATGCAGATGATAAAAAAAAATCTCAGGGCTAGCAAGATATTTAGATGTATTCTCTATTTGATAGTCATTTACAATATTCTTATTATGCATTCCCAGGCCTGTACTTATATCCTTTTAGGAACATGAAGCTCCCTGCTTTCACAGGCAACACGCTATACCTTTAGGGTATACTTTTTGTTGGGCGTATCTTTCTCTCTCTCTTTAAAGTGAGCCTAGTATTTTACTCTGAGTCTTGAGGTTTAATGATAGGGTAAGTCCTGGATAACATGGAAGTGTATCATTTCATGTTTACAAAAGTTTCTGTATACTCCTCTAGATCTTAACTTGGAAAATGACCGCTTAAAAGTCATAGGTAAGTAATTTTTAAATGTTACATGAAATACATTTATTTGTGCACATTTACGTGTTGGCAGGCACATGATGCCACCATGTCCATGTGGAAGTCATAGGACAGCCTTCAAGAATTCATTCCCTCAGTCCACCACATAGGTCCCAGGAACGGAGCTCAGGTCCCCAGGTTTGGTCAAAAGTCCTTTTACTCCCTGAACCATCATGCCAGTGCATAGGCAAAATTCTTATATTGTCAAATAGTGCACAAGGTATTTTTTAAAATTGCCTATTAATCTTCATCTCATCATTTTTCTTTATAACTTGTCAGCATAGAGATTTGCAGAAGGTCATGCAAGGAATGACACTGAAAGACCTAATAGGACTATATATTCTGACTTGCAAGCCAGGCTTTACGTATATATTCATGTTGTACCTCCCCACCCCTCCCTTCTGCTACATAGTGCTATTTTGGAGTCAGAGGCAGCATCTTACTCCAAGGAGAGTTTCTCTTCCTCTTCACACAAGTCAGGAAGCCTTTGCAGGCCCAATGTCATGCGCAGGGCATCCACGTGTTCTTTCAGCGGCTTATACTCATCATGAAGCCTCCGGGTTGACTCTAGTAGCTTGTTTAAGTCATTTTCAGACTGTTTAATGGTGTTTTCCATCTGGAAAATACAGAAGGGTAAAAACAGAAAAGATCCCAAAGTTCCCAAGAGGCTTTAACCTGTGACTAAATAGATAATAGCACAGAATCCAGAGGAAAACCAATCTATGTTCAAGTTCTCTGTCTTTCCTACATGATTGATCAAGCCTCAGTTTCTTCATCAATATAATAGTGAGAGTTTAATACTGCATACCCATGTAGTCTCAGTAAAGATTCAAAGATCAAATTCATGTGAAGCACTTAATATAGGAATTAATTATAGGAGTAAAAGCTCATAAAAAGGGTGGTTAAATTAACTCAAATTAGTAACATCTCATAGCTGGAATTGCCTTTAGAGATCATCTAGTTCACCTTATCCTTGATTTTAGAGGTTAGTGAGCTGAAGCTCATAGAATAAAGAATTTATTCAGGGAAATACTTCTTAGGGACAAAACCTACACAAAATTGAAGACTTAGCTGGGTGGTGGTGGCACACGCCTTTGATCCCAGTATTTGGGAGGCAGACACAAGTAGAGCTCTGTGAGTTTGAGGCCAGCCTGGCCTACAAAACAAGTTCCAGGATAGCCAGGTCTACACACGGAGAAACCATATCTGAGGAAAGTAAAAAAAAAAAAAAAAAAAAAAATTTAAAAATTGATGACTTGTGTCCTCTAGGCCAGTTACATTCTTTCCTAGGTCAATTGTTTTCAAATGTGGTTGCCATACTTCCACCCCACCCCTCAGCAGCAGCTGCAGCAGCAGAATTGGCATTTACAAATGAAGAATTTTCAATTCTCAAGCCCTTAACTAACATATGTAACTAGAAACTCTGGAGTAAAGTTCAACTATTTGTGTTCTCATAGGCTCTCCATTTGATCCTGGTGCCCCAGTCTGAGATTTACTGGCCTGGACTCTCACCCTCTTTGTCAAAAACATGTTACTCATGCTATTGATTCTATATCATCAGTTAGTTTGCAGCAGAGTGTATGGTTCCCTCTGGAGACTCAGAATCTTGTGCTCACTAATACTCAAAACCCTAAGGGTCTATTATGCAATCCTCATTTATGTATTTTTAAAATATTCTAGGCCTAGTCCAAAGTTTGGCTGTGAATCTCTGCATCTGCTTCAATCCCCTGCTGGGTGGAGTCTTTAGAGGATATCTATGGTAGGTTCCTATCCTATTCCCACTCTTAAGCCACTTCCAGTATCTATCCTGTTTGCCTTCTGAATGAGAATTAAGCATCCTCCCTAGAGTCTTCCTTGTTGTTTAGCTTCTTTAGGTCTATAGATTTTACTATGTTTATCCTATATTATATGGCTAATATCCACTTAGAAGTGAGTATATACCATGAGTGTCTTTCTGGTTCTGGGTTATCTCACTCAGGATGATCTTTTCTAGTTCCATCCATTTGCCTGCACATTTCATGCCAAGGACCATGCATGGAAAAGACCCAGAACCTCTGCTCAGATGTATCCCATAGACAGCTCAGTATCCATGTGGGTTGCCTAGAAAGGGGAACAAGGGCTGTTTCTGATGTGAACTCAGTTGCCTGCTCTTTGATCACTCCCCCCCCCCCCCGACCCGGCAGGGCAACCTTGCCAGCCCACAGAGGAAGAGGATCCAGACAGTTCTGATGAGACTTGATAGGCTAGGTTCGGATAGTAGGGGAGAAGGGCTTCAGTGGTCTACGAAAGAGGGATGGGAATAGAGCGAGGGAAGGGGGACTGAGAGGAAGTGATGGAGGAAGCTACAATCAGGATATAAAGTAAATAAATTTAAAAAAAATATTCAAAAAAAATTTCCTAGTTCCTGATAAAGGAATCAACAAGTATAGAAGCCCAGCCTCTACAGGAATATCTCCCAACAATGGAAGTTTGTCAGCTCAGCAGTTTATTCTCAATATTTCAAGAGTTTGCAAATGGCAGTCTAATGAGGGAGCCCCACTTTCATAAGCAGGCAGCGATGATTCATTTGGTCTGGATGGAAGCTTTTGAGCATGCTAAGCTGTCCTCAAGAGGCAGGAATCTAGTCCACTTTTTTTTTTTTTTTTTTGGTTGCTTCTTAAGCTGCAGACTTCCAGAGTGTGAACATGTCAGAACTTAATGAACCCTTGAAGGTCAATTAGTCACTTTTAAAATACGGGGAGAAAATATGATGTTCACAAATGAAGGACTTGTCAATTGCTGTTAGTCAGTGACATAACTAGAGCTGGACTCAGAACTCATGGCACTTTCCATTGCACAGTAGCTTGTTACCTTCTACTGTGAGCTGGCTACAGTCACAATTAAATGAAAAGTAACAACATTCTCTACTTCCTCTTCCTTAATGAGCCCAGAGATAGGCTCTAGACAAGTAGCCACATACCACATTGATATCAGCATGGATCAGTCTGAGTTCCTCCACATGGGCCATCTTCTCCTGTAGCAGGAGATCCATCTCCTGTTTGTATTCTTTCAGGTGCCTCTCTTCTGACTCAAGAGCTTCAAACTCAGCCTTCAAACGAGCCTTGATCTTTTCCATCTGCAGAGTCTTGTTCCTGAAATTTCGCAAGAGTAGGAAACAGGCCAATAAGAGAATGGAGAAAGAAATGGAAAGCGGGGTTTGGATTTCCCTTCTAAGCCATCTTTCTAACCCTTTCTCTCACAGTCAAAAACAACAAGTGCACATGATATGTGGCTACTATAACTAAGGGACTGAGTTACAAATTTTATTTCGTTTTAATGAATTTAACTTTAAACGTGTGGCTAATGGCTCTCATACCATACAGCACAAATGCTAATATAAAAACTTCCCCTTGTGTTTCTTCTGTCAGGAAGATTGACATACTGATGGAAGAGTAACTACAAAACCTGCATATTACACACTGCCCTACATTACCTTTGAGTTAGATCACCAGGCATATGTAGAACTCTTGATGTAGCTGTTGACTTGTCTTACAGAGGAACAGTATTTAGTTTTATTGGGAAATTATTTATATAGACCCCTTCTTGTCTAGACTTTTATTCTCAACCCCTTCTGGATTACATATACAATACCTGGAACTGTGTCTATTTCTACCCTAGTTTTTGAAATATGAAACTGATGCTCAGAGTGGCATCTTATCTTCATTCATATATCCAGCTGAGTGAGTGTATGGCCAAGATCCCATTTGTGCTGGTAGAGACACATCATGAAAGAAGACGTACTTTAATCTCATACCGGGGAATACATGCTGGTCCTGCCCTTTACTAGATTTTTGCCTCTGTATAATAATAACATTAAACTTACATTTAACTCTATTTAGTGAATATGCAATAAGTAGTGTAAGGACACACACACACACAAGTATTTAGTTTATTGAACAATTGTCCTCTGTCGTGAGTACAGAGAGACAAGGGGAATCAGTCTAGGTAAGGAGAACATGAACGAAGGCCTTAGAGCAGAAAGACACAACACATTAAAGGAACAACTCACAACAGATTAGAACAGCAGAACCACCTGCTGAAAGTGGGAGATAGGCTTAGATGACTATAGGGATTTTCGAAGAAATCAACACATAGCTGACATGCTGGGATGAGTTAGGTCCCTCCTCCTCATCTGAAAAGGGATTCTTCAAATTTTAAATATCAAGTGACTGACGTTATCTGATTGCCTTACTTCTCCCAGCTTTGACTTACTCAGTTCTAATGGGGAAATAACACCACCTACCTCATATGTCATGGTGTAAGGACTAAATGAGTTAACTCATGTAAGTTCCCAAGCTATGTGGCACGTGATGAGCAGTCAACAAATGACAGTGTACACTCTAACTCTGACCAATAGTTCAGCCATGATTATCTCCTTCATCACAGTGATCCAGCCTTTGTGACAAAGAGCTTACAAAAAGTATATGTGTGTTGCAAAGCATGTTACCAGTTACTAAGATTAGAATATATTTTTTAGTATATGCCATCTTATAAGTGTTTTATAAAACAATTGCCTGTTATGGGGCCAAGAATAGCCTTTCTACTCTATATCAATTAAATAAAGATAGCAACAGCAGACCTTCTCAGAGATCCTCTTCCTCCCTTTAAGACTCATGAAACTGGCATTCTCAGTGCCAGGGACTCTCTAAACAGACCATTTGGGGCAAAAAACAGGTAACCTACCTGTGCACTCAAGCACAGTCCTTCCCAACCCTGGTTGAACTGTGGATGCTTTTCTGGGATTGCAACCTTCTCTTGACCCTTATTTCTCTATTTGAACCTATAACACCCTGAAACCCTCACTCCCAGGAACTCTCTAGCCAGTCTATATAGAAGGAAGACAAAGTTAACCTATCTGCATTTCCTGGCACAAGCCCTCCCAACTCAGGTAGCCCTGTAGCTGCTGGCCAGGATAAAAAGTTTCTTCTTTCCCTTTCCCTCCTTTCAGAACTCAGTAGATCACTTTCACCGGTCCCTTACCCTCCCTTTAGGACACAAAAGACCCCAGACCACTCCCTTCCAATGATCCTTTATCCTGTCTATGTACTAGAGGAAATGCAGGTAACATATCTGTGCTTGCTGGCAAAACACCTTCCAATTCCAGTTGCCTCTATGGATGTTTCTTCCAGATGCATAATTCAGAGCCAGACAGGCATGTACATGCTGTGTTCTGGACTAGCCTGATGAGTATGCATGACCCTAACCTGCCTGAACTCTCCTCAGTTTCCAGACCTAACTCAGGTGTCACAACCAGGGACCAGATCCACCCTGGTGAGATCCACCTGCATTAACTGCCAACTTGTACTGCATGGCAAATCCTGTGTATCAACCAAGTGTGCTATGTCCATACCAAACACATAACCAAAAAAAAAGAAGTCCATGTCCCCAGGTCTCAGTGCAAGACAGTTACTTTAAGTTAGTCCTAGGATACAGAACTTAAAAAACAGTTATAAACTTCATCAAAAAATTCAAGGAGTTTAAAGAAAACAGAAATGAACAGCTCAGCGAACTTAAAGAGAATTAACTTAAAGGGAATATAAGGCTGAATAAGATGGCAAAGACAATGCAAGATTTGAAAACGCAATTCAACAAAGAGAAAAACTGAAGAGCACTCAAGATGAAATAAAGATGGAATTTAAAAACTCAACAATACAATTAGGAAACTCAAGGGAAAGCCTTACAAATAGAATGGTAGCCAAAACAATCATGAGCAATGCTGAAGACACTACCATTCCAGATCTCAATATGCCACTATCAGAATCAAAATAATAATAATAATAATAATAATAATAATAATAATAATAATAATAA